TGCTGGAGTGCTCGTTTGGTGTGGAATTATTCTGGGTTCTAGAACTGACCTGCATGTTCAAATTGGAACCATGACAAGCCAAATCTCTTGGGACGTCATTCTGGAACAACATATAGTACGTTTGTTTTCGGGGCGCCATGGGCGCACAATTTCTGTTTATGGATGACCGTCTTCACCGTGAAAGCATAAGTAAGCGAATGCTTTCAATCGGAGGATATCACCCGTATGGACTGGCCAGCATTCTCACCGGATCCAGTAGAGCACGTGTGGGACATGCTTTTCTGACGAGTTGCAGCCCGTCAACCTCCTCCTACATGTCTACCGGAACTTCGGAGAGCATTGCTTTTTGAGTGGTGTAATATCCCCCAAGGTCAGATCGATAATTTGATACTCAGCATGCCTAGGCGTTGTACGGACTGTATTGCATCGTCTGGGAGACATACAATGTATTAACAATCATACCAACCATGTAATATTGTTTTTTTTGTAAATGGTTTTTTTTTTTTTTTTTTTTTTTTTTTTAATTTGCTCCAGGGAGAAAAAATTGCTAATTTTTTTAATAATATTAAACATATAGCATCTTTTTTTGCTTTTTACCTTTTGTTTAATAAATAAGCTTTACAAATGAGTCAAATTTGTTTTGCTTGTAACTCTTCCTTTGCCTGATTTTGCATTATCCTTAATTTATGGACATGAGTGTATATATATATATGTAACGTATAACAAAATACGATGGCTACTGTATGACTAATGACTGATTGGCGACTTTAAAATTTAGAAGCCTTAAAATTCTAGACGATTCAGTCGACCTTAAAATTCTAGATTTACGCTCTTCCCTAAATTCATATGTTTTTCTAAATTCGAGATCTTTCCACGCTACGTAACACTTAACCTTTCCAGCACGCTACCTTTTAAAGTTGGAATTTCGATTAAAAAAGTTAGGCAGTTTAATTAGGCCTACAGGAGTACACAAGTAAAATTTTGTAAAGATAGCATTTATCGTATCAATTCTGTGGGTGTGCCCGAAGCGGGCGCATTGATTGAATAGAGCTTCAAAAATCGTGCTGAAACGAACATTGCTGGGAAGCGCGTAAAAGAATAAGAGATTTTGCCTACGATTAAAAAACACTAGATTCTGTGTGTGTGTGTGTGTGAATATGGCAAAGCCTCGAGGGCTATCTGCCTAAGAGGAGGGATGCCTTCGTGGAGGTCTTTCTAAGGGAAACTGGCTCATATAGACGTTACACATGGGGAAAACCACGAAAACGCCCATGCAGCCAGCCCGTTCGCGGGATTCGAACCTCGGACCGAACTAGCAGATTTAGCATTACCCATAGTGTGCCAAGAGGAGATCTGCTACTCTATACCCGCCTAAAAAGCTCATTTTTGGTTATATGATGATTACATGCTTATGAATGGAAAAAAAAGTAACTTGGGTATATGATATTTACATTATTTACATTTCATACTTACACTTTAGTCTATCTTATTCACCGTTTTACTTTTCGAAGAAAGTGACACCACGTTTAAAAAAGCACAACCCAATATTGCATGTTTTGCACATGTGCTGGGATCCGAATCAGATTCACTATTTGAAAGCAATTCGTGTAGCACTTTCAGTGCTTTAGAAATGGTCAGCCCTCTCCGATCCGTTTAGAAAATAATTAAAAATCCGAAAAAACTAATATTATATCTACAATTTGAAATTATAAACTATAAAATAAAAATATAAATGTCTACAACTTAAAACTATTAAACTTAGCGCTAAAAACCTTCTTTGAACCAAAGCGAAAGAGAAAAAGAGAACTGCTCTAGTGAAAAACCAAACAGCTAATTGATAAAATTATCCCTTACCTTCAGAAAATCACCCCAACAATTTCTTAGCTGATAACCAAACCTCCCCCAAAAAATCTGATGTGTACACCACATGACTTCCTTGTACGGAATATTAAATTATACGCATTTTTTCTTGAATTTCATTTAAATTGATTGGATTGAATTAAATCTACTTCGTCGACAGCGCATAAATCACAATAGAATAAATGCACTCTTTAAAATTCACTATATTTGTTTACTATAAGGACACTCTGAATGCACAAAATTTATATCATTTGAAGAATTATTGTTGCCACATTTTCTATTCAAATACTATAATAAAGCTAAAACGATGTATGAAAGAAATTAAGCAAACAAAACAGAAAAGAAACATTTTTCACAGACGATTTAGTATTTCTCATTCAATTAATTCAGTTTCTCACTTCGCGACAAGGCAAAAATACCATAAAAACTCAAAATATCTGCATTTAAAATTACGAAGTAAATCTTAAACACTTATTTCCTCGAAAAAATTCCAGAAAGGATTAAGCATGATTTAATTCGCAGTAATAAATGAAGGCGTTATTTTTGTGTTGCGAAGCTTAGTCTCTCTAGATTGGCAACTAATCTACAATTCTGCTGTTTCAAATGTAAACAAATATGTCCGCCATGTTATTTAAAACTTAACCGCACTTAAACAGCTTTTAAATTGTTGATAATTGTACAAATATTGCTTCCAGAATTACGAAAGGCTTAAAAACCTTAACCGGAAGATAAAAACAACATAATTCAATCATTTTTAAAGCAAAAAATGTACAATTTACAAACATATAAGAGTAAAGAAACTGAGATCACTGAGCCGGATAACAGAGTGGATATATATATAAAATATATTTATATACGTTTGGTGCGGCCGATTGCAACCAAAATACGAGGTGCACATCTACATGTTATAGTAGTCCTTACAGATATCACGCAAAATCATCGTTAAATTGCATTCGATAGCGGTCAGAATGGATATTTTCGTTAAAATAAATTGCCTGAAACTTTTCGCGATTACAATACTTCCTTTTTACTTAGCACAAGGAAGTAAAAAGGGAAAAGAAGAAAGAGAAAAACAGGATGTGGACCCACCTTTCTATGTTAATGAGCTGACCGATGAGCTGCAGAGAAACAAAGATACAGCTGCCTCTCAGTGACCTAGACTCTCAGTGAGTTCAATCTGGAAACACCTCGGTTCGCCGTCAATTTTAGGCAAGATTTCGAGGTAAAAATTTAAAACTAATATAGAATAAGGAGATTAGCATACAGCCAAAAAAAATAACACAGGAATTTCCTTTCAAATAATTCCTTTTATACCCTAAAAAGTCTGGAAGATTTCTTTGAAAAATGAGAGTCTACTAAACATACTAAACACTACTAAACATATAAACTACTAAACTACTAAACATACTAAACATACTAAACATGGCTAAAATATATGGAATTGTTTGTATTGAGCTGTCATCTACTATAAATAAAGAAGGTTCAGAGTAACCTATAGTAATCTTCAAATCTTTTTTCATTCAATTTTTCTGTGCGTACAGAAGGAAATCTTTAGGTGACCAGACACACCGTGCGCAAAGGGTTAATGCAGATACCTCTTGACCAATTAAAATAATTGGAAACCAAAACTTTTAAAACTCGGAAGTGAAATTTTTATGTTAGATGTAACAAAATACGATGCCTGCTTTAAGAATAATTCGCGACCTTAAAATTAACGGTTCTAGATTTTATGCTCTAACCTAAATTCATCTGTTCTCCGAAATTCGAGATCTTTCCATGTTTCGTAACACTTAATGCAGATACCTCTTGTCCAATCAAAATAATTGTAAACCGAAGCTTGTCTAACTCGAACTGAAACATTTTTGTCCCTCCCTTCTTCCTTTGAATTGCGGCGTCCTCTTTCGCTTAGGCTTTTCCGCTGGAAAGACACTCCTCATCCACGCTACTGCTTACTTGCCTGACCACTTTAAAACCCGTGTACATAGAAATAACTATGATTGAAAAATATCTTAACTACAGAGAGATGATCTGATGTGAATTATCCTGCAATAAAATTATGTTTCGAAAACCGCCACATCTGGAAGTTTTTGGTTAACGCAATTATCCTTCCAACTACGCAATAAAGTGTCTTCGGAGGCCAGAAATTAAAGTACTGGATTCCTTCATCTACGCTTTAAAACATTACATATATATTCACTCACATTTGGTATTGCCGATTGCATTAGGAAAGACAAGTGCACAGCTAGATGTTACAGCAACTCCATATACAAAAAAATTCAATACTCTACGGCGGTGAATCATTTACGAGTTACATGAATCACATACATACATTCGTACGAACGTACGTATAAACGTCACGAAAAATTCCCTTTAAAATCGATTTTATAAACCGTTTTGGAAACCATAGTCCTTTATTCTGTCCGTACGTATACGTCACGCAAAAAATCTTCCAAATGGATTCGGCAACGGTCAAAATGTATAGTTCTGTTGAAATATGGTACCCGAAATTTCTCGCGATTATAATACTTCCTATACTACATACAACGAACTAAAAACGGTTATAAATCTTACAGCTCATCTGAGTTCGTAGTTGTTGCCACTAACATCGTCTCCGTAAACAAACTTCAGTCTTCTGTTGAATGTCGGATAAACCGCAACCTTCTTTTACCAGGAACTCAATGGCGGCACATGATTTGTGCTCCGTATCTGTTATTTGCTTGTAAAAGGGTTATTACAAACTAGTTCTGTACGAGTGTTTGGACATGAAGAATTTGGACATTCTATGACAGTTAACAAAGATGTTATACCGACCGTTAACTAGTTTCGATATGACCCTCATATAAAAACTCAGTTGTAGCATGATTTTGAGAATTAGAAGTGGAACCAGCATTTTTGATTACACGAAAACATAATTTCATATTACCCATCAGAATATTGTTTTCATACTCATGAAATTGGTTTATTTATACACATAGACATTATTGATAATTTCTTAATATTTTAGTAAGATTATCTGTATTCTTTTAAAGCTATAACTTACTGTTTTACATCGCAATGTTTTATTCTTAATGATAGTTTAAAGAGAAATAATGTTAAAAGGACTTACATGTCTTCTTTTGCTAAAATCCATTCTATTATAAATGAATATTTATGAATTTATTTGGACTAAAATTTCAAACTGTGTTTCTTCCAAGGTTCTTGGTGTCTCCGAGAGAGAATTTTTAGACCAGATGGGAGTTTACTTTGTATCATTCGTAGGCCAATATGGCTACGATAGAGTACTTGGTGTCCTAGGTAGACATATGCGAGATTTTCTGAACGGATTGGACAACTTGCACGAGTACCTTAAGTTCAGCTATCCCAGGATGAAAGCTCCTTCCTTTTTCTGTGAAAATGAAACATCCTCTGGTCTAACATTACACTATCGAAGCACCAGAAGAGGATTCCTGTGGTATACCATTGGACAAATTCGGGTGAGTTCTGATAAAATTCTGACAGTTCGTATTTTATACTTCTCGAACGGGATTTGATTTTCGATCATGTTATTACTACTATACGAAATGAGAACTAAGAATTATAAGTTTATTATTTAATGGACGCCCAGACGGTATAGTGGTTAGGAAAGCCTGACTGCGATATCGAACGGCCCAAGTTCGAATCACGCAGAATGCATTGGATGTAAAATTGTCTGGCCCTTCATAGGAAGTAACAGTTGTCTCCTATTAGGTGCCTCCACAATAAAATGGTCACCACTTCTGGCCTTAGGAGTGACCAATGACGTTATAGGCAAGTGCCCGCCATTTGGGAAAAAATATTTAATACATCGTAAATCTTCGCCTTAAATAAATATTATTCTTCCTTTGCATTAATATCTAAAGTAATAGAATAGAAGAAAAACACGCCAATGTGGCAATCAAAATCGCAATAACAACCTTGTATTTAGCGTATATATACGAGTATGTTACCGTAAAAGACCAAAATTGGAGAATGTCGACTTTCACCGGAGAATATCAACATTCACCAAATACGTCGGTGAAAGACCGAATATTACACTACATTCATGTATATTCGGACCCTCACCGGGTATGTCGACAATCACAGATATGTTCTGGTGAAAGTCGAAAGAGAGGTCATAAAGTGCCATAATAGTTAAGTTGTTCATAATAAGATTGAATCACATCATTTAGTAAGTTTTTTATGACATTTTTTTTTTCATTAGAAGTACTGTATAATTGAGAGTTTTTAACTTCTATTATTTCCTTTCATTTTGAATGTATGTGTGTTTAGGTTATAATGTTCTTAAGTCTTATTTCAAGTCTCAAGTGCGTATTCGCCGATGAAATTACGGAGAGAAAATATATATTGTTATATGTTCAACATTCACATAGTACTGGTGATGGACATTACCGGTTTAAGTCAGAAAAGAGTATTAGAAAATATTTCGGACCATACCAAGAGACTATGTGAATGTTGACATTCACCGGTGAAAGTCGACATTCTCCAGATTTTGGTCTTTCACCGTAACATATCTATTAAAACACTCAATCGATTTTGAGGGCAGCTAAAGGTCCCTCCTCATCAGGAGAACGAAATTACTAAAAAGGGGGGAAAAAGGAAGAAAGAATTTTGCCGATGCTTTATTTTTCTTCTTTTTTCCCCTTTTTAGTAATTTTGTTCTCCTGATGAAGTGGGACTTTTAGCTGCCCTCGAAATCGATTGTTTTAATATATATACGCTAAATACAAGGTTGTTATTGCGATTTTGAATGTAATGTTAGATAATTGTTACATCAAATGTATCTAAGGTCATCTAGAAAGTGATGTGCGAGTTTGTTCCACATATTAAGGAAAAATAAGTCTTATTTCAAAATGAACTGATATGTCTTAAAAGCTTAGTAAAAATGGTGTAAGGTAAAAAAGTTTTTGAAATAAAATTGTTGCATAATAAGTTTAACATTTAGTGTCCGTTTCTGGGGGATTAGATTTGTTTAAATAAATTAGTTAAAATAAAGATCTTAATTAGTAAAGTAGGATATAGTAAGCGTCGTTTTCAGTTAATTTAATTTTCTTAAACTTAGATATAAGTTTTCTGCTGAGCTTTAAATCTAATTCATGGAGTTTTTAATTTTTATTACCTTAACAAGCTTATGTTCTAAAAAATAAGGAAATTTCAAGAATAAATTTTCCTATAGCATATAGAATTACAAAACAGAGTTATTCATTTCTTGTTTCAAATTTCTGCTCATATGACTAATAATTTAAGCTTTAGTGTAAAATTGGAGTTTTATTATTTTATCAATTATTATTTTATCAAAACGCTACACTTGGGTTTAATTATAATTTTATTCTAAAATAGCTAGAAATTTTCGAAGTATATGTTTTCTAATACTTTTAAGGATTTCCTTCGGAATGCCAAAATGCAGGTATTTTCTCAACTCCCATATCTTAAAAAAAATTTTTTTTTAGAAAAGTAATAATTACCTTTGGCAAGTTTTATTAAAAACAACATTTTAGAACCTTAAACTTTATAAAACAAAATTTTAAGAAATATCGTTAATGCTCCATTATTTATCAGGAACTCTTCTTTTCACCGTGATCTAGAAGCTTCATTCACCTGGGATTATCTGCACAAATAATAACGTCAAGAAAGTCGGAAAGTCGTCAAGAAAGTCAAATAATAACCCAAGAAAGTTTCAGTATATAAATTCGTTGATTAGGGTGTCCGCCGATAACATCGCGGCAAAAACATCGCAGACGAAAACGTCGCGGAGAAAACAACGCAAGGCGAAAACGTCGTGCTACAAAACATCGTGGGAGAAAACATCGCAGTTCTAAAACATCGTGGGCAAAATCGTCATCGAAAATAAAGCGGTTCAAAAACTTCGCATTTAAAAACATCGTCGTCGAAAATATTTGGTAAAAAAATAAAGTATCTACAATCATCGCATGACGATAACATCGCAACATGCTTTTTTCAGGCTTTAATAGTAATGTAAATGGATATTCCTATAATGATTGAGCGCAAGATTTTTACTTTTCATATTCTTTAACAATACATTTTTGCTGATAAAGAAGGAAACTTAAGCATAGAAAAGTAATGCAACTTATAGCACTTAACAGAATTTTAAACTGACATAGTTAACTAACAAAAGTCATTAATAAATTACTTTTTTAAGCTTTTATTGGTAATTTTTCATGAAAAGTATAATCTAAAAAGAGCCAAAAAAAAAAAAAAAAAAAAAAAAAAACTTGTCTACGATGTTATCGTCATGCGATGATTTGTAGATACTTTATTTCTTACCACGATATTTTCGAAGACGGTGTTTTCAAACTGCGAAGTTTTTGAACGGCTTTATTTTCGACGACGATATTTTGTACCACGATGTTTTAAACCTGCGATGTTTTCTCCCATGTTTTGTAGCACGACGTTTTCGCCTTGCGTTGTTTTCTCCGCGACGTTTTCGTCCGCGATGTTTTCAGCTGTAACCGTTGATTAGGATGTCGCAGTATATAAAGCAGTCTATTAGGAAGATCGCTTGGAATATTTCTTACTCTAAATCTCGGGCCCCTGGTATGCTATTCCCCGAATCGCTTGCTATTCACTTTCTCTAAGATCGTAACTTGTAACTACCGCTCATTAATAACCCATGATTTTCAGATCTTCAATTTATCTTTCTGTGTATACTTTGCACACATTTTGCATTTTTGTACTTTCTTGTGTTGAACTTGATTCTTTTTGTTACATTCATTCATGCTTTAGAACTAGACATTTGTGTTTCTTCGTTGTAATAATTTCTTTTTTCGTTTACAGCGCCTTCTTTTCTACCCCTAAGTACCTCTTCGCTTTGGCGAAATGACGTATCTCTGTCGATTTTACATAATGCCTTGTGATTTGAGTAAAGGAGTCGAATCTTCATTGAAGTTTTTATGAGTCCCTTTAAGAGTTTATGCATTTTAACAGGCAAACATTCATTCCTTGATGCAAAAGCAACTTTGGCTTCGAGCACGACTTCAATACTACGGTTTACCATAAACCTTCATCGGTTTGCCTTCCACCACATTTCAAATCATGTTATCCGACTAAACAAAAATTAGCTTCATTTTATTCCTATGTTTTCCGTGCACTTCTCGAAGTTTGCTCTTCCAAATTGTCTCTTGATGAAGAATTAAATTATTTAAAAGCATTGACAGGGGCTCTTCACTCAACATTATTAATTAAGCAGTTAAAACATTCTCATCTCGACACACCAAAAGGTACTACACTTTTGTTTTAGGAGATTATAAGAATTCCGTTGTCATTACCTTCTTTCCATCAATTAACTATAAAGTTTCACGTATTTTACAGAAATTTAACTTTCGAGTCGTTTATTCTTCCATCAAAAATGTTCTGAGTTCCATACTCAAGGATCCCATTGCGGATATAAATTCCTGGACTGGCTGTTTACGGGATTCCTTGCCAGTGTGGTTTAATTTATATTAGTCAAACTAAGATAGCGTTAAAATTTCGCGTTAAGGAGCATGAGGCATATATTAGAAAAAAGGAAACACAGAAGTCTTCGGCTGCCCAGCATTGTTGGTCCGAAAATCACACTTTCTATTTTTCTGGAGCCAAAATTATTCAAAAAACATGTTCCATTGGTGAATTAGATTTTCCAAAGGCATTTCACAATCAAAAAAAAAATGTTTCTGTTCTAGTTAACGACCCCTAATTCCAACTCATCTTTGCCTTCAGCCCTTAAGGAAATTATGTTTTAGTTCTCGTTTCATCAACAGATGGCACCAGTAGCTTAACTGCTGTCCACTCTTTCTTATCTTATATAATCACTATATCTTATCTCGTTCATTTGCGCTTTAGCAGCTGAGGATGATGGTTCGTTAAAACCATCGAAACTAGTCCTGTAAAAATTTGAAAATATAACGGTGATTTTTGTTATTTGACTTATATGCATGGACAATCTTAAAAAAAGAAATATGTCATAATGTTTCTGTTTGGAATGCAGTAGGCTCCCAGGAATTCTTTAAAAAAAGAGTTATAATTTTTTTTCAAGAGTAGTAAGTTACCAATAACTGTTGGAATCTGATGTCTTATAAGTTTTTCATTAATTATCAGTAGATGGTTTATAATTTATGCTTAGTAATGTCCCAATGGCAAAAATAAAAATTATGTTGTCGTAGTAATTTTACTGCTTTGCTGTCTCAGTTTAATGAGCATTTTGTGGTGTTGCCATTTCCCAGTCACTCTTATGGAATAGGTTGTTAACATATTATTTTACAGAATGCAATTTATACGCGTTTGGCTTAATTATTTCATTTTGGTTTTATTAACAAAAGAAAATTACTTTTGATTATACTTTGCAAAATGTCTGTTTTATTTTACTAAAGGAAATTTTTGAAAATAAAAATAACATCTCCGTTTTTTAATAGGAAAGGAAAGATGTCTACAGGAGGGATAAAATAACTTGATATTGTTAACGAAATTTAAAATTTTATATAACTTTAAAACAATGGTAATTATAATTAGAAGTTGTCGATAGCGTTTCAGCAGATTGCATTTCATATTTCTATGAAGCCATTATGGTTTTTCAAAATATTAAGAAGGCCAATATTTAAAAATGTACTTTTTAAAATTTTTCTGTAAATAATTAAACAGAGGCTGTTAACTAAGTTCTTCTCACATATTACAGGCAGGTAGTTTTTTTGCTAATTATTTAAGTATATCTCATTTTTTTTAATAAAATGCAGCGAGTAAACATTTTCATATAATAATTACTTTTATGATATTTTAGCACAATTAAATGTAAAACGTAATGCTATATAAATGTTTAAACTGCAAGATTACTTATTAATGTGTAAGGATTATCTTAATTTATCTAACAGTTAATTTTTGAGTTAAAGATACTTTCCTATCTTTCTTTGATTTCAAGCTTACAACTTCCGGCCAGAACGTATTTTCAGAATCGCGGTTGAATGTAAATGAGGAGAGGAAGTATTTAAATGTGAAGTTCTACTGACTTCGGGAGAGAGTCATAGATTCTAAGCAGCACGCGTTAGCCTTTTGGCTATACTGCCTGTATAGCTACTTCTACTATCGGCCGTACTTTAGTCCCTTGATAGCTTCGTTAATTAGCGTTAAGAGGCTATATCTTTCTAGTTAGATTAGTTAAGTTTAATTTCTCAGTTTCCTGAGTTCAAGCCCGAGGGGAGGCTTCATTGTAGAACTCCAAGAAGGAGTATTCTGTGAATATTTGGAATAATAAAGGGTATTTATTTAACCCTTCTCACGTTTTGTTCTCTTTCTCACGAACTCAAGCGATTTTTCACTTATCAGTTCTTAAAGTTCCTCTATTTTAACTGTAACTTAAAGGTACACAGGTTGTAATCTTACAAATGTTCACTTTTTATTCAGAATACTATAATACAGCGGTGCCCAACCTTGTGATCGCGAGCACAAGTGTGCTCGCCGATCGTTTTGTATGCGCTCGCCACCCCGATTAGGTACTATGAACAAAAAATATTTAAAAAATAACCATTCTTTTATATTTCTTAATTGTTAAAATATAGTAAACATTTATAGTCATAAGAGATATCTTGCAAGACGTTATAAAATAACTGATTGCTGAATGATGAAGTTGATAGCGAACATGGAATCTTACAGCTTCATTCCGATGTTAGATGGCTCAGCAGGGGAAAAGTACTTCAACGATTTGCAGAACTTCTTTCGCCAGTAAAGCCGTTTTTGGAATCCGGAAAGGAAAGTTAGAATTGGACGATGATAATTGGTTATCCGATCTGTATTTTCTTACGAATATAACAGCTAAACTGAAAAAAAGTGAACGAAGATCTCCAGGGAAAAGCGAAAAAAAAAAACACTTTTTCGATTGATTATGACTTTAATTGCTTTTCAGATAAAGTTAAATTTGTGGATAAATCATTTGAAAGAAACAAATCTTCACCCATTTTCAGAATTTATCAAGCCATATTAATAACCACAAGGAAATTGAAACAGAGGAATACTTGGAAAACCTAAATGCACTGAAAAATAATTTTGATCTCTGCTTTTCTGATTTTCATAGGTGCATCGCATAAGATTGGAAATATGTTTAACAAAAATGTTGATGTTTTGGAAATGTGCTCGCAATAGCCCAAAATATGTTCGCAATAGGCCAAAATGTGCTCGCGAGAGGCCAAAGGTTGGGCACCACTGCTGTAAGACATTATCGGTATTAAGAAGAAACAAAATTAAAAAGTAACTGTGTTTTCCTTCGTCGTTTCAGTTGTGTTCAGTCGTTTCACATTATCGTACTATACTTCAATTGATGAAACTAATCACTTTTTTATAATCATGCTAGGAATTTTGCCCTAAACTTTCTTTTCAATAAACATTTTGCTCATTGAGTTACGAACGATATACTTGTATTTTTCTTTATTTCTTCATTAAACTGAAAGTCAAATGTTCCAATGAGGTCACACTATGACTACATATTCTCAAACGTTCCGCTAACTATTCCAAAATCTAGTATTCTTTGGTTGTTTGAAATTATTGCGGAAGAAGTCGGACTGCAAAATATATGTTTCTCAAGTAACTCGAAATTAGCTCTAGTTGCAGTACAGGTGCAATAAGTCAGAAATTCAAACCTAAATTCTTTTGAGATAGTTTAATAACTTTAATCGTGTAATAGTTTTATCCACATAACAAGAACAATTCCATTCTAAAATTTATAATTAATGAACATGTTCTGCTAGCAGCAAATGTAATTACTATAACCACAAATGATTGCTTGTGTTTATAGGAAGTTGGGCGCCACTTCTACAAAACAGATGTAATCATCGAAGTCATTAAAGAGGAAACAATCTTCGATACCTTGCACGTCATGATGCAGCTCACTTTTGACAATCGAGCTTTCCAAACTGACAGGCGCCAGAGCGTACAGAGAATCGACAAGAATATGATGCCTGTGAATGCCTTCCTCTTTCTGGAGATCTTTCCATTCTGCATCGTGTTCGACGAATACTTAGTTATCAGGACAATCGGCAACAGTCTCCAAGCCGTTATGCCAAATATCATCGGCAAGAAACTTACCTTAGTTTTCGAGCTCACGAAACCTCTCATCGAATGCACATGGAGAGCGGTAAGTGTCTGTTTTCTCCTAATGACGTCAGGAAATATTTCCTATAATCGAAAATAATGCAGTAGATTCTTTTTTCACGAATTTTAGCGTTGATCCTAAAAAAGGATTTCACAGAACGAATGCTAATTTCCTTTTCGCTATACAAATTAAACCGTACCTCGGCAACCTATAAATTCGCAGGTGTTAAACCTGTTTTATAATTTCGAGTGACCCACTTGAGTTCCGAAAATAAAGTATAATGTATTAAAAAAATTTTGAAACATAGATATGGAATGAACACTTAAAGAACAGATAAAAAAATCATGATAACTGGTGTCTCGACTGACACCGAAGTTGCCAAAAGTGACGGAATTACTTCTGTGGGTTTTTCATGGTATTTTATGGTGCTACACAACTACAGATACGAAGGAAAACAAATAATGATTATGAAATTCCTAATAAATAAAAGCAAGTGACGATTGCACCTTTTAATGCCAATTCTATCCATGAACTCTCGATTTTTATGCATTTTTAGACTTATGTTTCTAAAATTAGGAAGATTTCTTAATCCTTCTGTTGAGAAATTCAATTTTAAGACTGGATTATCTGCATTATGGCAAAACACGCGAGAGCTCTCTGATAAATGCCTTCGTAGAAGACTTTTAAGAGCAAACGGCTCAGACTCAGGTCAGTAGATAGAAAGTGGGGGTTCTGCGGCATGCGGTGCGGGCATGGTCAGTGACGTTCGCGGAAGGGAGGCTACGTCATACATCGTATCACCGAGAGGGGTATGGAGATTGTGAAGGCGCAACAGATAAGAAGGATTTGACAGATAAGAAGGATTTATTGATTCTTCAATTAGCCGATAAGATGACGTAACACTTTGATAGGAGATTATCGTTTATTGATTTTCCGAAGGTTTTTGTTAATAAGTTTTTAACCTTTGTATTTTTTCTTCGTATTCCAGCTATTTTACTATGAGGGTTATTTCCTAGGTGCCCATAACGACGCTTATTTTCGAATTTCATGATTGATTCAGAAGGCCTTAATTTTTAAGATTTATTTTCCGCCTTTTAATTTCCGACATACTCAGATTGTTACCTTATTTCTTAAATCTTCTCTTCATAATATCAGATTTACTTTCCATAATCTTACTCATTTTCATTATTTATTTCATTTTACATAGAATTTTTTCATGCATTTTAACCGAAACTTTTAACTCATTTCCTATATTTTACTAGCATAACTATTCAGATTTGCGTTTCTATTCATTATATTATTTAGTTTTAGATGTAAAATTTAGCTTATTTTATACATTTTAGCCTTCATAAAATTTATACTTTAATTTTTAACTAATTTGCTATATTTTCACACTATGTACATGACTTTCATTTAATTTACAGCTACTTGCATACGTATAGCTACTTGCGTACGTTTGAACCTTCGTAATTTCAAAGATACTTTTAGTTTTAGCTTAATTCCTATATTTTTCTCACCATGTATATATATAATGAACTTTATTTAATTTTAGATGTAATTTTTAACTTGTTTCGTACATTTTAAACCTTCATAATTTTTAAAGTACTATAATTTTGAACATTTTTCAAAATTGTAATACATTTTACTATAAACTTCAATAAACTATACACGAAATGATTAATACTGATCACAAAGGAGAAAGAAATGTAACGTGCATCGTCTTTCTCCACGACATATCGCCGAAAGCAGGACGCGGTGCAGAATTCTCTACCAAAAACAATTATTCGGACAAAAACGAAAAAATTGTCACAATAGATGAATCTTGAATTTATTTAAATAACCGCAATAAAAAATTATCCATTTATAATCATCAAAGAGAAGAAAAATCTTAAACATGGTTTAAAGAATCTAAAGAAAATTTTTCAAAGTGATTTTTGATTGTTGTTAGTTTCTGATATAACGACAAACAAACATTAAAGAGAGTGCAGAAAGCTTTTAAGGTGAACTTCACATATTATCAGGAATATATTTTATACCCAATTTTCAAATATGAAATATCTTTTTACCCACAGTGCCGCTTTCAGAATCCAATTATTAATTTCTGGGGAAAAAATGGAACGTGTGTCAAAGCCATACCCTTCACTCATACCCCTACTAAATCTCCTGATGTATCATCCACGGATTTGTGCGTTTTTGGACTTCTAAAAACCGGATTATCCAGACGTCAACCTACAACCTCATTGGACTTTGGAAAGAGGAATAAGATAAAATGCTTAAAAAAACCTTTATTGTTTTGAAAACTACGATAACAGATGCTTTTGGTAAAGGATGGATATTTCTCCATGAAAAGTTAGTTATGGTTAAACAAATAAAATTTATTTATACAAAGAGGAGATATGAAAATAGTCAAGGTCAGTTATGAAAATTTACATCCATCGGTGACTTAGATACTCTTTCAAAAGACAAACAGGAAAAAGTTGTTACTAACTTTACTCTCAGTTCTTTACATTTCCGATCTTTTTTAAGGAGGTTTTCAGCAAAATGAAACTTCCTATACTTGAAGGTAAGATTTATAACCAAAAGACAAGCATAAACACTTCTCAGGCTATATTTATTTGCAGCTTCACCAGATGTGCGAGTCTGGCGTGATGCGTTTTTCCTATCCACTCGACATTGTTTAAATAGAAATCTCTTCACCTCCTACTTCATGGAAAGAGAGTTTGGGCTTAATCACTATATTGTCAAGTATCTGTTCTGATTTATGCTCAAAAGCATAGCTTGGCAGAGAATGGGAATTACAAATTCATTTTATTGAAACATGTTGTAGTAGCTAGTGATCAGATGACGAAGTAAAATTCATAAATACAAGTTCTAATTTTAATGAAATGTATGTTTCGAGAGAATGGACTAAAAAAATGAATCATGTTTCAAAAGTTTTATATATTATATAAATTTATATTATGATAAATAATCAAAAGATGTTTTTTCTAATAAATGTCTGAAAGTATTCAGATTTTTATTATTAAAGCTAGAAGTTGAATCAGTAAAGGTATAAGCTATTACTCCCGCCTTCTTGGCATGCCTTTATGGTGTGGTGGTCTGCACGCTGGACGCGTATTCCACAGGTCCGTGGTTCGATTCCCGGCGAAGGCGTTGTTCACTTTCATCTCTTCTGCTTCGAAATAACATAATGTCTCTACAAAGGTTGACGCATAAAATACTTTAATGACTGCATATTGAACTAATATTACATATAAAGTAATTAATTCCGCCTGAAAACGAATTCTGATTGTTTAGTTTTTCATGTCTAAACATTTGTAACGTTATACGCAGTAAGCACAACTAACGCTAGTGACGTCTTTCGATCCATCTGCGTAAATTTCGGTTGAAACTCTGTTGTCGAAGAGCAGTATTATTTGGGTGAATACGTTAGATTCTGGTGGACGGCATAGTAGATTTGGTACGTTATATTTTTAGCCTGTATATACACTGCCATTATCCCGGGTGATCGTTGTGTGACGAGATCTTATGACAAGTAGGATTGTGGATTCTTTTTGAGCCACGTGGTGATGTGGTGGAAGGCCAGTGTAAAGAACGCTCCTGAACTCTCTATTAGAAAGACCTACAATGCTCTCGACTAGAGAGAACTTTGTTAGCAGACTCCTCACACTACAAGGACTATAATTCATTTTTAATACCTATTTTAAAGAACTATGAATGGGAATGACATAACTGAGTAATGCACATGCATAAAGAGAAAAGACTTCTGGTCAGAGAGAGAGTTGAGAAGCTCCGCCAGCGAGTTGAGGTGCGGAGACTTTATTCGTCCAGTGATGACGAGTTAACGTCTCTGATCGTGTCACCGGCTCGGATATCTACTAAAGTTTTCTAAATGTATTAATTAAATGTTGTATGTGTGGTATGTGCTGTGAATAAAAAGTTATGCATCACCAATACCAGTGTTAATTCCGTTACCACTGAAGCATCCACGACGTCACACTAGCAAGAATATTTAGTGCATTGTTTGGAGATGTACGATATCCTCGACTGACGCCTAGAAGTAAAAAGCCCTGTATATACTAGTTAGTAGGGCGTTCTCCATACGTTTAAGGATACGCGCACTCCAGACGTAGAAAGCCATGTAATACATCTTTTTCTACTACTATTTTATCCCGTATATTGAGCTATTGTGCAGCTACATCCCAGTTTGATGTATCGGTTCTAAGCATTGCGTGTTGGACAGTATTGCGAAGTTTTTTAGTTAGCTCCTTGATATGCGAAAACCAGATACGCCTGTCATATATAAGCATGCCAAGTTATTTCATGGTGCTAACAAATTGGATGTGATCTTTTTATAGGCTGATACAGGCTCTTACTGAGTTGATAAACATGACTTTAGTTAGCTTTGAACATAGTGAGCATATGCTTGTTGACTCAGTCTGCAAATTTATCTATAGCGTATTGTACCCATTTTTCATTTTGTGCGATGACTCTTTCCTCCTCCTACAGTTAAAAAGTCTTTAGTATATGCTAGGATGTACACTGCGCAAAACAAAATGGGACAGTTCTATATCTCTCGTTCTACCGGGCCGATTGACGAAATTCAATTTGCATTTTTCATGTCTCGAAAAGGCGACTTAGGATATATATTCAATTTATATATAGCATTGCTCTATTATAGGTATTTTGACACAGAATTTGACTTTTTATGAAATAACATACCCATTTTTTTTCCATATTTGGATTCTACGATTCAAATTACGCCAAACTACCAAGTTTTGTAAAAATTGCGCGAGTAGGATTTTAAAAATTAGCTCTAAAAATTTTACTCCTCATTGTTAATTATGTTTGGTATATATTTATTAATCTCCCTTTTTTTTATTAAACTTATTTGATACTTCCTTTCACATTTCGAAATTCAGGTTCATTCCAAATAAAATTTACCCATTTTTTATAATTTACTTTTAAAATTTGTACTTTCAAATAATTTTTATAATTTTTTTCAAAAAAATTTTCGAATTATAATCTATAGAATTTTTACC